ATAAGATGACAATGAGTTACATGTCATATGAACACATGAAAAATGTTATGAGCCATATGAAAGAGAAAGTATATGTGATACATGAGGGTTAATCCTATGTGACATATGAATATGAATTCATATGAAAAGTGACATGAATTACATGAAAGAAACTACGTGATTACATGTATATGTGAATGAAACCATGAGCTTATATGAATATATGATTCTTAAGGAGTGATATGTGGTTCTTCGGGATATATATGTATTCTTTGGAACATGTGTGAAGTCTGGTGAGACACATACTTGATCCCTAGTATATGTATATGATTCTTAAGGAGTGATATGTGGTCCTTCAGGACATTATTATATGGCACTACGGTGCAATTCTACGCGGCACTCCGGTGCAATTCTACGTGGCACTTCGGTGCAATTATGAGCTGTGGTGACAGCATTAGTGCACAACCTCTTTGTACTCGCATATCTTTAGTTCTCACATGAGTATCATGGGCTATTAAATAGATAATATTAATAAAGTGATAGGATAATATGTTTGTTCTCTTGTGGAATTTCATGTGTGACATTGATTGTACAAATGGTAACTTATAAGACTATATGATGAAAGGATTCAATGATAGTGATAAAATAAGAAAGAAATGAAGATGATAATATAATTGATTAGGTGTACGTGTTTTATGATAATATATATATATGGTTTACATGACATGGTATGTATGTGCAATTGGTTATGGTATATGTTATATGATATGGACATAAGAGATCATAGGAACATGAGATAAGATATATGAATGATAAGGACATATATGTATGCATATATTCGTTACATGTAAAAGTATGAGTGGTATGAAATGATAGTAAGAATTGTTTAGGTATGATTATTAGTACCGTTTACCTTATAAGTTTTTATGCCTCACTAAGTCTTCGACTTAACGTGTGATTGTTTCACACGTAGGTTTCGAGAAGAGTAAAGAGTAATGCGGAGCAAGACAGGTCAGTTCCCCTTACCAAATGTCAGATCATAAAATATATGTACTGGTTATAGAGTGTAGTTGGCATGTAGTCTAAAGATATAAATTGTATGAACTCTAATATATTTTGTAAACGTTTTGAATGAGTTAACTGTTATCAAAGTTTTTAAATTACTCACTATTTTATACGAATAAATGTTTGAAAAGTCAATGTGACACTTCGGACTCATATCCGGGTCGGATACGGGTTGGGGGTATTACATTAATATTCTCAACACTTTACTAATTAGTAAAATTAGTATGCATGGTTCTCAATTATTATGAAATTCCTTTTATCTTACTCAAAGAAAATTTCATATTTTCGAATTCTTCAAAAGAAGATTTTAAGAAATTAGGAATATTATGAAAAAGTTTTCAAATAACATGAAAATTATTTTAAGTTTATTACAAGAGATTTCAACACACCTCTTAAGATAGATATGTTTTTTTCCACTACTTAAAAAATTACTTAAAGAGATTTAATAGCTACAATTAATCTTTTAGTAGAAAAATATTTATCATAATCTCATTCACGTTATTCAACATATTAATCTCTAAAGAGACGATCACATATTTTATTTATTATGATCAAATTTGATATTTCACTCAATCAAATTCTTAATGTCACTTTTTTAACTTCTACACTAAGTTTAAAGAGATATTAACTCATCATATTATTTATAAATTTAAATAAGCATAATATTGAAAAATACACCATGTAGGTTTCTAAGAAAGAGAGGTATTGCACTAGGCATGCTTAAGTATTAGGTCTTCATAGAACCAATCCTAGACATGCACTTTCATACTTATAACACTACTTTCCAATAAATCATTTATAATTTTTTTTCTTTCTTAATGCCTCTTGAAGAATTATACTTGATACTTTTACTCACAACATTATCTTATTAAGCATAAACAGTTTGGGCTTACCACTATCTTAGCCTTAGTCTTTGTCCTTTTACTAATGGTTTGTTTATTTGAGTCCATAATATTTCCACTAAGTTGTAAAGAATAACTTAAAATGCTCGTCTATTCTAATTCATGTATTTATTCAAAGCATGAATTAATCGACAACAAGTCTAAATAACTAACCTCGCTGGTAGAATCATAATTCTCAAGCAAACTTGTTTATTCTTATCATGCCTACAACTTTAACCTTTGCATCATTATCTTTGACCAGAATGACATCGAAATCTATCTATCTTCGAATTAGAATAAATTCAATAATATTATTCTTTATAATTTATTGATAGTAACAAATAAAAAATTACTCATAGGAACAAAATCCTTATATTTAATATTGTGCATCATAATTTTCAACGAATGGCAGAATGTAGACCAGATTTTGAAAACTTATATAATTTGGAGAATCTTTTCATTCTAACCTTGTAGCCTTGTAAACATTAATCTTTGAAAACCAAGCATTTATCTTGCCAACCATTTCTATTTTAAAAAACCAAATATTCATCATGTTATTAAACCACATTATTAAAACATGATAAACCATACAAAACTTCAATAAGTGTTGAAATCAACGGTATTACACATGATTAAATTTTACCCGATAAATATTAAAACTTATGTTATATGACAATAACAATGGTCCTAAATTCCAAATTACACGTTATATAACATAAAAAACCCTTTCATAGATATTTATCATACTAAATCCTTTAAAACTCATAATTATGAAAATGAAACAATTTTGTTTATTTTGTTCAGTTTTACAACATTAAAACTGTATGAATTATTTCTCCTATCCACTTAATGTTATAGTTAATACAATTAACTATAGGCAGTAAAAACTTAGCATTCTGTCAATCAACTAAGGCTCAATTACAGTTTGATAGCCTTTAACACTAAAGATTAAACCAATTGAGTCTTAGGTATGCACTGGCTTTGTCCTAAGGAGCAACCCTTGACCTCATTCATGTACTAAAACATGAGGGGAAACTAGTAGAAGTGCTATCATTATCCAAACCTAACCCGGTTAATAGACTTTACCCATAATAAAAATAATCAACAACATGCTAACCCAAGTAACATAAGCCATGGACCATTATAAACTCAATAACACATTAATTCAATGTTCAAACATCAGCTGGCAAAATCCATTGTTAACTTATATGAACCTAGGAAAAAAACCACCACCAATGATAAAAAAAATGGACCTTCAAAGTAGTAAATTCAGTGTTTTAACCTACCAATTTGATGCGGATACAAGACTCTCAGACGAGCAAGTCGTAATGGTTTCTACCACCGTAAAGGAGCCTTATGACTTTCCTGGGTTTTCCTTTTCCGGAGCCCTTTCAGAACTCAGATCCATATTCCGCAATGGGAATGAAACCTGAGCCCCATCCACCCTTTCTATGCTGTCAAGTTGGAAACATCAGATAAACTAGTAAATCAGTGCAAGCATCAAATCAAGATGGCAAAAATGGTCTAGTGCATGCATTGGCCCTAGCAGCAGTTCCAATGTTTCCATTTTCATTCAAGATGCATGAAGCAACGCCAGTGGCAGTGGATGTATATACAATTTGAACCTCGGCTCCCATTCATAAAATGAACTTGAAATAAAGGTTTCACATCTGAGGTAATGCACGTTTAGCGAAGATAAACTCGGTCGTGTGGCTGTGGATGTCACCAAAAGACTAAATATGCGAGTTTAATTCAGTGTAGCATGGAGACACAGAGCCTAACATAACAAAACGGTGAAACCCATTCTCAAAACCAGCCTAAATGTTAAAGCAACATGCCAGTTTTTACACCCTAGACACAGAACATACCTCGTGCTCTGGGATATAAACAACCATTGGCTAACAACACAATCTTGAAAACACCTGGGACAGAGATCATGGCCGTTAATCAAATTCGTCATTTCAACAAAACATGACAATAGACAGTCGCAAATATCTGCATAGTAATGTCTCATCATCTTTGCAACATGGTCATATATTAGCAGTGAAGATCAACATAAAGAGCATCTAATAAGCAGTGTTTTGAAAACTGGACCGGACCGGCCAATTCAACCGGGAACCGTTGCCTAGTCCGGTTCAATCTACACCGGTTGAACCACTACCAGTGAACTGGTCAGAACCGTTCGAACCGGACCGGCTGAAAACAAAAAAAAAACCAGAAATTTTGTTTTTTTTTTAAAAAAATTAAACCAAACGACGTCGTTTGTTAAACGAGCCAAGTCGAACTCGAGTATTGCTGAGCTCGACTCGAACTTGAAAACTTTAAAAGTAAGCTCAACTCGACTCAAACTCACGAGCTAAAAATTATCAAGTTCAACTCAAACTCAAAATATAATATTGAAACTTGAACTCAAAAAGGCTTGAACTCAAAAAAAATTTAGAAGCTCGATTGAAGCCTAAAATTCGAGCTTGATTGAAGTGAAAGAATAGTTCACTCAATGCTCACCAAAAGGCTCCATGATATTGAATGCTAAATTACCTCTATTATTTATAGAAGTTAGTTGTGATGCTCTTTTATGTTTCTTAGTCATGTGGGATTGTTTTGTTCTCATATTTTTACTCTTTAGACTTATGGGATTCTCTTCTATGTTTCTTAGCCATGTGAGATTGTTTTTTAAAAAAAAAATTAAACCAAACAAATATCATTTTGTTATGATTTTTTTAGCCCCAAATTTATTTTTTAATTATAGTTATATAATTATATTTATTATTTAATATGTTTTACCTTAAATATTATGTTGTAGTTAATTTGAATTATTTTGTTTCACTTGATTTTATGGTTTTTAACTTATATATGTTATGACTTGCTTTGAATATGACTTATGATATAAAAAAATATTTTTTATTAAATATTTTTGGTATTTTTATTTAATTTTTTAAATAATTATGACGTCGTCCAGTTCTTCCGACCGGTCGGACTGGTTCAACCTGTTGAACCAGTGAACCGGTAGCATGGCCGGTTCGCTAACCGATCCGGTTCTGAAAACCATGCTAATAAGTATGCATTGAAAGAAATACAAACCAGTAGCTCTGATTATCCTCCTCAAAAATCAGGTCGTTGAATGCGTTGGCAGTAACTACAGAAGTTGATAGATTCTCATTACAAGGAAATGCTAAGCAGTCAATCAACAATAGATACTAAAACTCTAAAAGAGATTCCATGAATTATAAGTAAGATTAGAGTCTAACCGTTTAAAAGATTCTTAAACTGTAATTGCAACCAAAGCCTCTTCATACTGCTGCCGGTCTTTAGCATGAACTTCTTTGACAGCCATTCATAATTCATCTGCATCAATATGATTCAGAGCTTAGTAATGTACCTAAAAGGTTTGAAGCATATTAGTCAAGTTACTCGATAACTTATAAATAAACAGAACTTGTAATCATCCCGATGCTTTTGGTTTCTCCAAGGTTCTTGAATGAACAAACTCAAGAATAAGCCCTGGCTTCTCAACCATAAAAAAAGTTGTATGAGGAAAAAAGTGGGGAGGAAAAGGGGCAGAAAAAAGACTAACACTAACAAACTTTTCTCCTAGATAAACAATTAATCCTATGAATGGAACTTTTTCTATCCTATATCCCACGGTTTCAGATCATGGATCAAGCCAAGTACAACAACTTGATACTTGTAACTGCTAAAAGAAATAAAGAAAATGAAAACAAAATAAAGAATGATGGTATGGACGAATTCAGCTACAGTGTTAGTTTTGAAATATATGAATCATACCTGCATCATCTCTCTCTTTTCGGGGGCTTAAATCAATACCCTTGTTTAATGCCATCCCTTTGACCTGATTCACATTGTTCACAATCAGTAGATGATCCATTAAGGATATCACTCTAACATTCTGAGGTCACTGTGTAATGGAATACAGGTCAGCAAGGAGAGGCACATCAGCAATGGAATTACACATCAGCGATTGTCAGTTAGTCTTTAGATTCCCGTCACTTGAGCTGTTGTATCAGACTATCGATCGTTAACCTCTGATATAAGTACTTGTAACTCGAAGTTAAACAAATAATGAATACACGTTATCTTCTAGATTTCTCTGTTCATTTCTCTTCTTGTCAACGAAGCTTGCTGCAACTTACCCTTTCCAGCTTTGCACACTCTCCTGTTCCATTCTGCTATCAGTGACTCTTTCCTGGCACCGGCTAGGACAGAGAACACTAGACTGCAAGAATTTCGAAGGTTTAGGGATTCGGTCAAAATCGAAACATCTATGAAGACGATGATGTGTATTCACACATGTAACAGTTGATAGTCCGTTACAACAGCTCAACTTACTGGACTCTAAAACTAACTGACACTTGCTGACTTGTAACACTCATCTTTCATTATTACAACTGTAAATCTGAATGTATATAACCAGAAAGAAACACTTTTGGCATCAAATGGAGTGTAAAATCAGGTAGTAGGATAGTACTTATGGTATTTATATAGTCACAGACAAATATCAAACCAATATCTGATAATGTAAGAACTCAGACAGAAGAGATTGCTATAAAGCTAACTAAAGAGATTCAAATTAAAAGCTATGCCAAAGAGAAACAAAGACCAAATGTTACCAGTGCTCGAAACAGGCAGCGGCCATCCACAGTAACCCTATGAACAGAGTACTGCTCAACTTTCTTTGTTGCTGGCGACCCACCTCCTCTACAAAATTAAAATAAAATGCGAGTTGGTAATGATGGAGTTTTGGGGTTAAAGCCAAGGCAACAAAAAATATGTGGGAAAAATAAGAGCTTTACAAAGAAGGTCCAGTTCTAGCAAAGAATCGATGGCTTTTATCTGCCGGTAAAGTTGAGGAGAATGCGTGAGAGACGCCTGGGGATGAAATAGAAGAAACAGGGGAAGAAACTAGCTCAAACTTCGCAATTCCATGCCCCAGTTGCTCCGGAAAGTTACTTGCTAATTTCGGGAAAAAAACAACCGAAAAGAAACTAGTAACTTGTCTGAGAATCCATAACAAGAAAAAATTACCCAAGTTCAAGAATACCATTGAAAAGCTTGTTGGCCATCGAAGAAGATACTTAAATGACACTCGCTGTAGTGAAAAGGAGAAACACCGGATAAGAACTGAGGGGATCCTGAACCGGACCAAGTTATACATATACAAAAGACTGGGTTTTTTTTTCACCCAATACCCGTGTCGATAAATTATTTGGTCTAATAGATCAACAGAAAATTTAATTTGTAATCTACTATACTTGTTATGGTAAATGGTAAACTCGTAAAGTTGAAGTGATAGCTTGTTTGAAAATACTTTTTTATTTGTCTCATATATGTAGACCTAATGTGGATTAATATTTTAATATATTTACCGTGACTCGCCACATTTAGATGATAAAATAATTGAGAATTTACTTTTTTTAATTTATTAAATATTTTAAAGATTTTTAAAAAAAAAAACCTACACATCATATCGAGAGTTTATCTTAAATTTTTTAAAAAAAGTATATGTTGGGCAACAAACAGTTTTTGAAAATTTTAAAATATTAACTGTTGAAACTCATTGAATATTAATTAAAAAACAATATTAAAAAACTTAAATAAATACAAAATAATTTTATTGCAAACTAATGCAATGCATAATAAAATTTATTTATATTTTGTAGTTCTTGACGATGCCAATGAGTGGTCGAATGATAATGACACGGGTTTATCGAGTACGTCGGGATTGTCTCCTTAATTATCTTCGTCTTCATCTTCATCTTCATTTGACATTTGCTTCTTGAAGAGGAGGTGTACTAAGCATCATTCCACTTTGAGATGAACCTTCGAAATACGACGATGGACTTAAGATATTTGACGCTATCATTATCGTTATTAACTCGACTTGGCTATGTTGTTGACCATATATAATATGATACTATTCACCCTGTAACATCCCAATTTAGGGGCTAAATTTTAAGAAATTATAAAGTGGTGGATTTAATTGGTATTTTGAAAGAAACAGTGGATTAAATTGTAAAATTTCAAAGTTTGCAGACCGTTTTAAGAAGTACAGAAAGTTCAGTGACTAAACTCTTGGTTTACCTAATTTTTATATAGGTTGAGTTATAAAACTCTTCCCCGTGCGCAGTTCAGTATAATTTTCCAGTTTTGTCTTCTCTAACTACCCTCCTTTCAACTCCGATCTACTCGCCGTCCGACCTCCGATCGACGAGCCGAAACCACCATCGTGTTCATTGTCAACCGAGGAACAAAACCCCTCAAACCTTTCGTCGTGAATCGTCTCCGTTCGTCGTTAATTTCAGTCGGAAGTATCGTCGGTAATAATTCGGTTTTAGTTGGTTTTTCATCAATTCACGACGATCGGGTCATCCGTTTACGACACCTCCCGCACCATCGTGTTCGTTGCATCGTTCCGAGCTTGCCGGTGTCATCCTTGGTCTCCGTCGACGGTGACGCGTGAGGAGGTGAAGCGGTCAAAGTTTCCGATTTGTTGAAATCGAGCTCTCCGCCGTTCAAAATTGTGAACCGAGCTTTGTAAGTATCTCGAAATCGCTCAAAATAATTTTTAGAAAATTTTCCGGGATTTTAGCACTGTTCACGCGCTCCCACGCGCCGCCACTGCGCGTGGGGAAGGGAAAAGTGACCGGTTTGACCGGTTTGACCGGTCACAACCCGACCCGACCCGTTGACCCGACCCGACTCGTTTACCCGACCCGTTGACCCGACCTGACCCGTTGACCCGTTGACCGTTGACCGTCGTTGACCACTGTTGACCAAAGCTTTGACCGGCTTTGACTGGGCATTAAACGACCTTTGACTTCGACCGAGTATACCTATCCTGACATTTTTCGACGTTCCAAATCCGATTTCACTGTCCGTTTTTCAAAATTAGAACCCGAAGGCCTCAAAATTTCCATTCAAACCCATTGACTTTGATTTTGACCGAAAATTCCAAATTTCTGAAAAGTCATATTTTATGCTTTCGACGTCCTGAATCCGAATCCGAAGTCCGTTTCGCCAAATTCAAACCCGGTAAGCCGTCTTTCACTGATTTATCACCCGATTCGATCCGTTTATCGCAATTAAACTCCGTTTCTGATATAATTTATATTGATATGTATCTGAGGAATTATTGGAAGTTGAATTGAAGATCAAAGGCGTTCGAATGGAATTTTTATGTTCGATCAGTATTGCACAGAAATCGAGGTAATACTTTACTACTTCTTTATGCTTTATAGAACATGTTGGTATTGGTAAATGCATGAATGAAAATGTTTGGTCTCATATGGGTAATTAATGAAGTTCTACAGTCGATCTGAATACGGTAAAAAGGTTCAGTAATTGATTATGGTTCAGATGACTTTTATAAGAAATTAAGGGATTGTTAGAATTAAATTACAAGTTATGTGCTTAGTGATAAAGAAATCAACCTGGATCTGTAACTTATAATTTATTTCATCAAAGGTTAAATGTTAAAGGTATTTTGATAAGAAATTATGAGAATACTCCGGTAGGGTAAAATTATAAAAATACCCTTGTGTTATAAAAAGACAATATTGGAATATGGAAGTTGGAAGTTGGATAAGAGGTTTTTACAGACATATTGATCTGATAAAAAAATATTGAGGTGCATAAGAAATGTTAGTTTTACTTGGATATTTTGGATAATCGGGTTTTAACCCAAGAAGAGTTGAGCAAGATGCTAGAAGTCTGTTAAAGAATCTTTTCAAGATTAGAAAATGTTGGAGAAAGCAATTAACCATAGGATCTTTAAATTATAATTATTTTCGTTAAGAGCTAATATCGAAATTATCTGGTTAAGAAATTACGAAAATGCCCTTGAGAGATAAAATAGTCTGAATTGGCCTTGAATGAGAAAGTACTTTGAGGATTTGTACTTATCTCGATTAAGTAAGAATTTAATTGTTAAGATCCTGTCTTTGTACAAAAAATTCATGATATTCCGTTTGTAAAATTTGAGAAGACACTTGACTCGAAAATATCCGAATAATGAGTAAATACTTGAAGAATAATTTAATGGAGGTATTTTGATGTCAGAATTGTTCGAAAGGACTAAAGTAAATGATAAGATTTAATTAAATAATAAGACCGGATGGAAGGAAAAGATTGAAATACCGTAGATCTGTAAAATAACCAAAATACCCTTGTAATGGAAATGACCCAAAAATATCACCAAGCTCAGGAATGATAGGATATCCTCGAGCTCTGAAATGAATGGAATAAAACTAAACACCAAAATTACCAAAATATCCTCATGACCTATACCAAGCAAATGCCTTGAATTAATTAAGGAATCCAAATAAGCATAGGTATTGGCCTACCTTTAAAAGTAATGGAACACAATTTAAGTGAGTAGATCAACCCTAAAGCTATGTCAATACCTGAATGGCATAGATATTATTGAAATGCGTGTTCGTCTTCTTAAGTTTGACTCGATGATAAATTTTGGAAGTATTCAACTTAGTTCAACTCTGGATCGCATTCAGTACTAAGAATTGGACGTTTGCTCGACAAATCAGCCACAAAGACCAAATTGAATGGAACGGAAGTACATCATGTGTCTGAAAAATCAGGAACGCTTGTATTACTCTGGAAAATCCTGAAGTATCTGGAATGGACTTGAATGCTAAATAAATTAAGTAACCACAAGGACTGAGGATTGAATAAGTGAGTTGGATGAATCTGGATATGTTAATGAACATATATGATGTAATGTTCTTATGGATTATGAATTACAAAATCAAGTACGTCAGTATTTCATGATATGGTGAAAGCGTGAACATGAAATAAAGACATTAGAAGATTTATTCAACGTTAATTTCGAAAATGAAATATGAACAAGAATTTGTGGTATTAAATAGTAAATACCCTGGAAGGAAAATGAATTGACCAGTCGACATAGATTGTTAAGGTTCTGAATCTTCGTTCTCAAGTTGTTCGATTATCGAATCAATTGACATGGATGCAAAGGATTCTGAATACCCTTCTGATTACGTACAACTTCTGAAAATTGTCCGAATAAGATATGATCCTGATAATTCACATTCTGAATAACTGGTGATTCCATCAGTTATTGAACTTTTTACAATAGTGATTCTAAATTCCGACATTCTATCGGTATACTGAAGGTCCATATTTCTCTACTTGCTAAGATTATCCAGTACCTTTGAATAATATTTGTAAACTCTGGTGTGTTCCCTACTTATATGAATATTTTATCCGATTTCTGATTTGAATTCTGTTTTGACATCTGATCTGAAATCTGTTCTGATTCCTAACCCGGATTCTGTTCTGATATCTGATCTGAATTATGTTTTGATTTCTGATATCTCCGTTTACCGACGAAGAAATGTTTTATCTGGGGGTTTATTGTTGGAGGAAGATTATCTGCAGACTCCTCGGCTTTGTGCTCAAGGTCTAAATGGCATATGCGGTTGGGTGTATGGTTCTGGGGAACCTACACATTTATGATGTGAACGGATGGGGGTATATATATATATATGTTTTAAAAGATCTGTATCTTTTTACTGAATTTTTCGGAAACACACTAGAAAACCTATTCTGATCTTCTGAATCTAGACATCCGAAATATTTTCATCTGAAATGAATACTATTTGTTACTACCTGGAATATCCGTAGGATCTCTGCTCAATATAAAGATCTGTAAATATCTGAACCAATAAAGAAAGTATGTTTATCTGTATCTGCACATTTTTCAGCATCATCTGGTAGTTCTGTATTACTGAGCTTTTCGAAGCTCACTCTATTACTCACCTTTTCAGGTTAAAAGAATTGTATCAGTGCATCTATCGACTTCAGTAAGGGAGTTCTTCCGGCGATGTTGCAGAGTATGGTACATGTGATTAGGGGGCATGTAATTGTATTTTGATTTATATATATGAGTCTAAAAATCTTTTTTATTTTTAAATAGTGAAAACTGATTTTATAAGTTTATATGTTTTGATAAGAAGTTTTAAATTTTCCGCTATTTTTACAATGGGTCGCTCCGGTGGCCCAAATGTGACACCCCAGATCGGATCTGGTTACCCTTATCGGTCTGAGGGGGTTACATTTAGTGGTATCAGAGCTATGGTTTGAGTCAAGAT